CGTGTGTGTGTGTGTGTGTGTGTGTGTGTGTGTGTGTGTGTGTGTGTGTTCATACACAAAATCGTTCAGAAGAACTGCCAGTCCGACGAGACAAATATTCCTACATCCCTGAGGGGAAATTCAGCTCAAAAACAGGAGCACAATTAGGCTACACATACAACACACATGCAATCAAACTGAGAGAAAAGCACTCATGGCAATTATGTCACTTTGATGATATCAGAAAAAAATATCAGATGCTATAGCATATAAAGTAAAGAGATCAGAGGACCGGCAGATGGAGTGCTATGGTATCACCTGGTAAAACCACATACTTTGGAAGTGGATGATTACTATTTCCATATACCATTGTATTTCAGTCATTCTTGAGAAGTGGGACAAAACAGGGTGCAAAATGGAAAAAATAAAACCTTGTACTCAGACAAATGAAACTACATTTATGTATCTTATGTGTACTAAGCTACTGAGCTATGCTTTGTCATTAAAAAACTACCTTGCTAGGATATATTAAGTGTTACTTTTGATAAAACAAGCTCTTTTTCATCATTAATAAACATTTTTATCCATTTTATTGCATATGAATGCTTGAACCATTCTCTGTGGACACACTGTTTTAGACGTAGTGAGAGGACATTAATAAACACAGATTTGGTATAATAATGAGAAAATTAAATTGAAGGTGATAATGGTGTTAAATACATTCTATTATTAATCCCTAGTGACATTTAAAATTGAAAATATTTTTATTTTTAAACCTAATAGCAGTTACCATTGCTGGACCTGTTTTGTCCCACGTCTCAAGAATGACTGATTTACATGCTAGCCTAAAGTATGCTACTTGATAGTATTGACTATTAAATGTGTCCTTGGCCACCGAAGCAGTCAATGATTACCACATGCAAATACCATGGTATTTACATGGTACTCCGAGGTATTTTAAAGATTGCACATGTCCAAACAGAACATTTGAGAAATAACGATAAGAAGTAAAGCTGGTTTGCTGTTCGCGTCATTAGGTTTAGGTTACAGTTACACTTAATAGTTATCGTTTTATATTTCAACTGAATGACAAAGGTAAAGCGTCATTTGTCCTTTTCAGTGTCACTTTTGAATAACAGGACACACTCAAACAGATATGGCAACTCTCGCGTCACCGTACGCCCCGCCCTCCATTGTTGTGTCAAACAAAGCCATGTCATTCTCGCCGATGATTGGTTGAGCGCAATGACCGACAGCGCTCCCATTGGCTGAAGGCCCCGTCAATCAAGGGTGCGGAAAAAAATTCTTAAAATGTACAACTCCGGCTTCCGAGTGGCACAGAAAGAGGGATAAAGGCAGAGAAAGAGAGAGGGATCGGACGCAAGATGGAATGATGTGACAAAACGGACTCTTACGGATGATTTAGGGTGTATCTGAGCAGTAATGGTGGCACAGACGCGTTTAGTTTCGACCGGGGATTGTTTTGTTTTTTGTGAATGGGGATTTCGTCGCAGGCCTCGGACATCTGATTAATTTTCATCATCTGATTGATTTAACACTGTGTTTTTATTTGTGAATTGGCGAGATGAAGAGGGTTAATAGTTTCCAGAGGTGAGTGCAGAGGCTAACGGGTCCGATTACCATGCATTGTCTTGTCTCTCTGTTATTGCTGGTGATATCTTTATTGTTAATTCATAGACTGTTTGTTCAGAAACCATGGCATGCATCATCTTGTAAACTATATCCAGCGATCAGATCATGCATCTTTATTGATTTTGTGCTATGTTGAGATCAGACCGTTCACTGACATACAGGCACATCCTGATGTGATGCATTTATTTCAATGCATGATCTTTATTAATGTATTCAGATCATGCATACATAGCAGAACATGTATTTTATTGACGCTATATTCTCTATTTAGAGATCTGACAGTGCAAATCAGTGCAATTCAAGCCAATAAGGGTTTTATTGATTTTCTATTTGGAGATCAAACCATGCATAATTTACAGATCACGTGTTTTATTGGCTATATATTGTATAATCACAGATCAGACCATGAACTTTGTTTTGGATGCTGGAATCAGACTATGCACTGAGATAAGTTCATCATGTGACCTGATTGTTACATTTCAGTGCATGGTCTGATCTCTTTTTATGCAATATATTTTAGATGCATGCTTTTAGATGCATGCTGTATTCATGGATCAAAACATAAATTAAGTTAAAAGCATGTCCTGTGGTCTGATCATGCCAGCAAAATGCTCCGTTTAGAGATCAGACGTTGCTTTGAAATCAGATGGTCTATGCAGTCTGATTGTGGTTTTCTGGTATGATATCTGCTCTCCAAACATCAGCGGTGTCAGAACTGGTCCGCATGGGTGTTGGGACGCAGGGAGCGGGGAATGCAGCATGCACATTGATGCATGTGTGTTTTTAATGAGCATGCACCACTGCATCACACACACCACCATGCTTGACATCATTGCTGCATCTTTGAGGAGTTTAGGACTCAAATAAAACAAACGAGGAAACACACCTGAGAAAAGCAGAACATCTGTATGAGTCACACTGCAGATCATGAGCTCACGTCCTCGGGCTGGTGTCCGTTTACTGATGGGGATCATCATCAGTGATAGAGAAAGATCTGGGAGAAAATGCCAAAGCGGCTCAGAATGAGTCACGGTGTTGTCTATGCTCACAAAAAGCATGACTTTGTATTTTACATTTATATTTTAGACTGATACAGAAGTATAAATGACTATTTTCTCTTAACAAGTGTTTAATTGAGTTTAATTTGATTTTTATTTTCATGTAGAAGTGTTGTAGTGTGTATTTTGGAAACATTTGAATGCATTTATGTTTGTCATGATGAAAACATTTTGATCTAAAGGCTTCTGCGCGAAATTTTATTTTATTTATTTTTTTGACAAATAGTTTAACATTCTTGGTCACTACATTATTTCTATCGTTTCATAATGGTGTTTAATATCAGTAATATAGTATTATAGTATTTATACATTTTTATTTTTGTATTTTCTGTTTTGAATTTAATTGTAGCTACAGTTTTAGTAATTTTGTTGTGTGCTTTTGTCTGTTTTATTATTATTATTATTATTTTTAAAATCTTTTATTATTATTTTATTGGCAACTAACCGGAATATTTACTGACAGTATAACTAATAACTAGCCTAACATTTTTAGATTTTGTTTTATTTATTTATTTTTTTTTTTTTCCAATGAACATGAATTAAAAAAATAATAATTGTAGTTAACGATAATAACATTGGTCCAAACATGTATCAAATGAGGTCAGTCTGGTTTGTTATTTGTGTTTCAGGTTTATGAACACCCGCGCGGCTGCAAACTGCCGTTACCAGCCCACGTGTTATGAGCACGCGGCCAACTGCTACACCCATGCGGTAACGAACATTCACTCTTTAAAGGGGTCATATGATGCAATTTCAATTTTTCCTTTCTCTTTGGAGTGTTACAAGCTCTTGGTGCATATTTCATTACACCAAATACACAAAATAATGTTCTTTTTAGCAGCATCATATGACCCCTTTAATGAACAGAATCAAAGAGATCCACCTGAATGCTCATTTGGAGTCATGAAAATGTTGCGTATTAAATGCTTATTTTTTCTCTTTAATCCTCTCTGTCTGTGTCTGTAGCTGCTGATTGTGCCGGCGTTCGTGGGAATGGCTCTGTTACACCGGCTGTCAGATGACCGCTGGGAGCGGATCACGGCCTGGGTCTACGGCATGGGTCTGATCGCTCTGTTCCTCGTCTCCACGGTCTTTCACATCATTTCCTGGAAAAAGAGCCACATGAGGTGTGTTTGCCATCGTACAGCATCACACAGAACCGTGGGAGTGACATTTAAATGCAAGACTGAATCATTAAATTATTGTTCCATGAGTGTCACTGCATTGCAGGAATAGGTCATACAAAAAATGAGCTTAAAATGTACTCACCCTCAGGCCATCCGAGATGTAGATGAGTTTGTTGAGAACAGATTTGGAGGAATGTAGCATCGCATCACTTGTTCAGCAATGGATGCTCTGCAGTGAATGGGTGCCGTCAGAATGAGAGACCAAACAGCTGATAACAACATCACAATAATCCACACCAGAACAGATTTGGAGGAATGCAGCATCGCATCACTTGTTCAGCAATGGATGCTCTGCATTGAATGGGTGCCGTCAGAATGAGAGTCCAAGCAGCTGATAAAAACATCACAATAATCCACAAGTAATCCACACCACTCCAGTCCATCAGTTAATGTCTTGTGAAGTGAAAACCTGTGTGTTTGTAAGAAACAAATCCATAATTGAGACATTTTTGACTTTAAACAGCTAAAGTCCATAATTCATAAACTTTCTCCAGTGGAATAAAAAATCGTCTCGTCTGAATCTGGAGAGAATTATGCACAGAACAAGCAAAAACAGTTCTAAACCGATAAGTGGGTGGAGTTTGATGTGAGAGGAAAACAGGGGATGGACTTTTTCACTGGAGGAGGCTTTATTATGATTATGAACTCGTATTTTGGCCAGAAGTCTTGTGAAGTGAAAACCTGTGTGTTTGTAAGAAACAAATCCATAAATGAGACACAGCTAAAGTCCATAATTCATAAACTTTCTCCAGTGGAATAAAAAATTGTCTCGTCTGAATCTGGAGAGAATTATGCACAGAATAAGCAAAAACAGTTCTAAACCGATAAGTGGGTGGAGTTTGATGTGAGAGGAAAACAGGAGATGGACTTTTTCACTGGAGGAGGCTTTATTATGATTATGAACTCGTATTTTGGCCAGAAGCGATGGTTTAAAGTTAACAACAATAATAACAAAAGACATTAACTGATGAACTGGAGTGGTGTGGATTATTGTGATGTTTTTATCAGCTGTTTGAACTCTCATTCTGACG